CAGTTCGCAAAAGCCAGAGGGAGCACTGAGGCTGTGTCTGGATGCGCGTGGGGACGTGATTCGCTGGGAGGCTCCCAAAAGAATTGCGGCGCACCTCGCCAGGCCAGCACAGTCCCATCGTTCCGCTGACGTCCCACGGGGACCCTTACAGCTATGGAAACAAAGGGGCAGCACATGTCTGCATGCGCGTTGGACGGGGCGCCCTTTCACTTCATTCAAAGGAGCCCACAAGGAACGATGACCTCTGCGCAAATGGCTGGATGTTGTGCGGCAGCACGGGAGGGAGTGAACACACGAAGGAGACAGGAGGCAGGCGGGCAGAGGCTGGAGGAGGCCGCGCAAGGGCCGAGGGCCCAACACAAGGGAGGATCGGGAACCAAGACGGTAGCAAAGGAAGGACCTCGCAAATTCACGTACCCAGGGTCGGACGGCTTCCCCACCGAAAGAACAACAGAGCAAATGCCGGTCCTAATCCCACCAACCTTTTAGGGCGTAGGTGGTTTGGATGATTCCCCTTCCACACCTTTTTTCCCCTTTTCGGAACAGGGCTTATCACTTCTCCCTATTGATATACACCCCTTCCCCCAAGCGACTGGCAGCCAACCAGGAACAATGCGGGCACCCCCCCACCATCGTTTGTAAACAAAACAATACAAACACACTCTGCCTCCTAATTCGGAGCATGCGCAGCCAACCCGATGCAGCCTCCCCCCACCATCCCTGCCAAAAAACAATAAAGAATACATTTGGCGGCGGCGGCGGCGGCGGCGGCGGCTGCGGCGGCGGCAGCAGCTGCGGCGGCTGCGGCGGTGGTGGCGGCGGTGGCGGCGGCGGCGACGGAGGCGGCGGCGGTGGCGGCGGCGGTGGCGGCAGCGGCGGCGGCAGCGGCTGCGGCTGCGGCGGCTGCGGCGGCGGCAGCGGTTGCGGCGGCTGCGGCGGTCGCGGCGGCGGTGGCGGTGGGCGGCGGGGGGCGGCGGCGGCGGCGGCAGCGGGGGCGGCGGCGGCGGCGGCGGCGGCGGCGGCGGCGGCGATTGCAACGGCGGCGGGCGGCACGGCGGCGGCGGCGGCGGATGCGCCCCCAGTGGCTGGCCATCCAAAGACGACTGCTGAATATGCTGAGGCTCGGGCCAGGCTCGGGTGCTGCCTGTGTGTTGGGAGGGCGGGCGGGAGTGAGCGAGACGGCTTGCGGGCGGGGAGGGAGTCTTGACCCCTCCCCCTACCCCCTCCCGTGGACCTGGACGGGGCGTTTCGCGAGCGGTCGGGGCGTCCAAAACGGCCTCGGCGAGGAAACCAAAATCATTGGTTTTACTATGGTTTTGGCTCCATTATGGCCTCTTGGGGGGGCGGCGCTAATTAAGGACCCCCCCTTCTTTGATCGATCTCCTCCGAGATGGCCCCACGAGCGCTCCCAATGCTCCCAAGGGCGCTCCAAGAGGGCCCCAAGAGGTGGCCAGAAGGTCCCAAGAGGCCACGCCGCCAAGAGGCCCCCAGGATGCCCCCAAGAGGCTCCCAAGAGACCCCCAAGAGGCCCCAAGAGGCCCCCTCTGAGGCACCCAAGACGCTCCAAGAGGCCTCGGCGAGAATGCCAAGCTTACTGATTGTACTAAGGTTTTGGCCAATTGTTGATCTCATGGCGGGGGGGGGCACTGCTGAAGATGACTTCAAGAGCGCCTGGGAGAGCCCAAGATGACCTCCAAGATGGCTCAAGATATCCCAAGATGTGTCAAAATGGTTCCCACGATGTTCCAAGAGGCGCCAAGACCGCTCCAAGACGGCTCCAAGTGGCCAAAGAGCTCCCCCAGGAGGCCCCGAAGAGGCCAAAATCCTTCAAAACTCTCGGGAAATCTATGTTTTTGGTTTTTTCGCTTTTTCGCTTCCGATGGCCACCCGAGGCCTCAAGATGGTTCCAAGATGGCCCAAGAAGGCTCCAAGAGCGCTCCCAAGGCTCCCAAGAGCGCTTCAAGAGGGCCCCAAGAGGCGCCCAGGAGGCCCCAGGAGGCCCCAACAGGCCCCCAAGAGGCCTCCAAAAGGCTCCCAATAGACCCCCAAGAGGCCCCAAGAAGCTTTCCGAGACACCCAATAAGCTCTAAGAGGCGTCCGGGACCGCCAAGAGCCTCCACTGGGGAACCCTTCCTCTGTGTGCTGCCCACGTCCCTGATCGAGGCAATTCCTCTGGGCATCGTTTTTGGATGGGCTGGTAGGGCTACTTTTTAGTCAGCGGCCGCGGGCGAGCGCGCCGGCGGCGAGTCAGGTCAAAGCAAGCTACGCAGCGACGAGTTAAGCGAAAGCAGCGGAGACAGGCCACGCCTAACGCGGCTAACCGAGGCCTCACGCGGCAACCCAGCAGCTGCTGGGGTTAGTTCTTTTTGGTCGCGGCCGCGAAACAAGCATCAGGCGGCGAAGGCAACGTCCGGGCCACGGGCGAGGCTAATTGGCTAAAGCTGGTGGGGTTATTTTTTAACTTGCGGCCCGCAAGGAGAAGTCCAGAGGGCGTGTCACAAGGCAATGGGGCGCAATGCCAGACAATTACATGCAGAAGACCACTGGGCGAATGCCAGCGGAAGCCAACGAGGAGGCGCCCCGACGACGCCAGCTCGCAAGCGGAGCAAGCCAGGACCCACAGGTGGGGAAACCTGACCAGCGGCCTGTAAGGAAAAGCCCAGAGAGCAAGACAAATGCACAAGCAGAAGCCGGGCCAGAAAAAAACAAAGCGGCTGGACGCGCAGGCCGGTGCCACGCGGCCCAACAGCCCAATGTGCTGGTGGGGTTACGCGAAGCACCTAGAATTGACACCTTGCGCCTGCCACAGCATGTTCAGACTGCGCGGGGGACGGGGAGCACAGAGGTGGCCTGGAAGAGTGAAAAGTGAGAGAGGAGGGACGGTGGAGGTACCGGGCAAGGGCAGGGGAAAGAGGAGGCGAGTGGGAAAGGGAGGAGGAGGAGGAGAAAAGCTGGGGGAGTGGAGGACGGGATTTGAGGGCGGATGTGCATCCCAGATCAGGGTTAAGAGAATACCCATACCCGAAGAAGAAGCAGAACCACGACTCGCGAGGCACGTCAGGCCCAGCTAGTACAAACCCCTCCTGCCCAGGACCTCGCGCTCATCAGGTGATTTACAAATTGGGCTGGACTGCGCATGTGCTCTCCTCCTCCTCCCCACCTCCTCCGCCCTCCACTCCTCTCCTCTCCTCTCCTCTCCTCTCCTCTCCTCTCCTCGCCTCTCCCTTCCTCTCATCTCCTCTCCTCGCCTCTCCTCTCCTCTCCTCTCCTCTCCTCTCCTCTCCTCTCCTCCGCCTTCTATCCCCCTCGTCCTCTGCTCCTCCCCGTTCCTCCACCTCGTCCTCGTGACCTTCCCCCGTCTACAATTACTCAATATGAAAACTACTCTCTCTCTCTTCCCCTGATGACGGCTTGGGAATATTCGACCCCCCCCGCGTACTGTTTTTTACACACAGGTTTCCCAGGAGTTGGGTTTTCGCCTGCATTTTTTCCAAAATGCTGCTCTCGCTGAGGCGCCGGCCTCGTTTTCGGGCCCCGCTCGTTCCGAATCGTGCTCCCGCTGCAGCGCTGGCATCATTTCCGCTGGCGCCTGGGCTGCACGCCCGGGCCGGCACCCGGGCCGGCGCTCCGGCCGGGTCCGGAGCCGGTTCTGGCCGCCGCCGGAAAATCGAGTTCCAAGGCGGCGCCGAAAAAAGGCCATTCTAATAAACATTTTTCTTTTGAAAATGCTGGGTTTCTGCCTCCGGCGCCCAGGAGGCCTCCCGGGCCGATTCCGACGCCCGGGCCGGCGCCCGAACCGGCGCCCGGGCCGGACGCCCGAGCCGGCGCCCGGGCTGGCGCCCGGGCCGGGTCCGCAGCCGGTTCCGGCCGGCGCCAGAAAATCGAGTTCCGAGGCGGCGCCGAAAAAAGGACATTCCAATACACATTTTTCTTTTGAAATACTGAATTTCTGCTTCCGGGAAGCCTCCTGGGCCGATTCCGGCGTGCTTCCGCTCGTTCCGAATCGTGCTCCCGCTGCAGCTTTGGCCTCATTTCCGCGCTTCTGCTCGCTTCGACTCGTGCTCCCGCTGCAGCGCTGGCGTCATTTCCCGTGCCATGCCACGGCATGCAATGCAATGCTGAGTTGATACTACGCTTCGCGGTGCTCTTCTACGCCATGCCATGCCGTGCTCTACAATGCATCGCGTACCCTTTCGGGATCATTGCCATGCTCGACATCCGACTCTGCGAGTAGAGAGAGGATCTGCGCCATGGTAAGGGATGGGAGGGAGGGTAGGATGTCAGATATGACGCGAGCGCACCTAGCTTGCCTCCTCCCCCTCCCCGTCCTCCCTCTTCTCCTCCTCCTCCTCCTCCTCCTCCTCCTCCTCCTCCTCCTCATCATCATCATCATCATCCTCCTTCCCCACCGCTCCTCCCTGCAAATTCGCCACCACGCCGCAGGCACTCAGCGGAGGCTCCTCAGGTCGGGTCCCTGAGTCCTCGATACTGGATGCTGCGAATCCTCTGCGAAGCCCCAGGCTCCCAATTCACTGACCGTCTCGGGCACCACCGCGCCCTTCTTGGGGTTCTTGCGTGTCTTCTCCAGAGGTCTCGGGTTCGCTGCTGCAGGGATACTCATCCCAACATACCTCGAGATGGCCGCGAGGGGGCGTCCTTGGGCTCTCTGGGAGGCCTCTTGGGCCGTCCCGAGCTCTGAGAGTCGGCCAAAAGGATCAACGGATCGAAGACCCTTCATCCGGCTGCTTGTGGGAGGAGGCTGGGAAGGAGAGCGAACAGGAACACGGGGACAGGCAGAAGGAACCAGGGCGTCGCCAACGGCAGGCGCTGAAAGGAGGCAGGGTCGGCGGTGGACAAACCTTCCTTCAGTAAACCTCCCCTGAGCGAAAACGGCCTGAGACCGAAACCGACGGACCTGGACCCGCAAAAATGACGGCCGCGGCGCCCTCTCGCGAACCGAAAACGGCCAATTCCTTAATCGACGTGCCAGGGTAGGAGGTCTATCCACCTCCGACGGACAGGAACACGGGGACAGGCAGAAGGAACCAGGGCGTCGCCAACGGCAGGCGCTGAAAGGAGGCAGGGTCGGCGGTGGACAAACCTTCCTTCAGTAAACCTCCCCTGAGCGAAAACGGCCTGAGACCGAAACCGACGGACCTGGACCCGCAAAAATGACGGCCGCGGCGCCCTCTCGCGAACCGAAAACGGCCAATTCCTTAATCGACGTGCCAGGGTAGGAGGTCTATCCACCCCCGACGGACAGGAGCACGGGGACGGGCAGAAGGAACCAGGGCGCCGCCAGCGGCAGGCGCCGAGAAGAGGCAGGGTAGGGGGCATGCCGCGGCGCTCGGCCTCCACGCTCGCGACCGCCCAGAGACACGAGAGCCGCCGGCTGGCACTGCACGAGGGCACGCACGCCCCGGCGGCGAGCCACCAGTGCCTCGCAAAAACCGATGCACAGTGTACGAGCATGAACCTGCAAGCAGCATCAACTCTGGCCCTGTATGAGCACGAACACGCAGGCAGCATCCATTCTGGCCCTGTATGTATGGCTCCGCAGGGCACTCCTTTTCTGCGAGCGGCGAAACACTAGCTTTCCAGTTCCAAAGCCGCGCCCCGCCCAGCAGCATCACGCCGCCCTCACCTGGAGTGGGCAAGGCCGAGGATAGATCTGAGGCCCTCCTCCTCCTCTCGGGCGCACGCTGACGTGGACTTCGGCGGTGAGATACTCCCCGATACATGGCGCCATGGCCTCCTGATTTGGCGACGGAGCGCGTCGCTGTTATGTGAGCACGGGACCCGTCGCTAACCCACGCGCCTAATCTGCGTTGGCGTTTCCTCGGTCCTCCCTCCTTCATTCCCCCGGCCCTTGCTCGAAGAAACGGCCGCTTACAAGACAACTGTTGGTCCACTGACGGCATCAGGCTCCTCGCGCTCGCCTGGACCGACCGACAGCACCAACGGCGTCCACGACGGAAGCTCCAACAGGCCCGCCGCCGCCGCCAAACTGGAGATCTACACAGGGGAAGCCCTCCCTTTCGGCGCGCTCAAGGGCCAGCGGATCCACCCAGGCGAAGTTGCGGGCATCGCCGCGGAGCGAGAACTCCGCGCGGCGGGCCCCGACCGTCCGTTCAGAAGGTAGAAAACTAAACGACTACATAGATACAACGACTCGGAGGTCCGCGCAGATGCCTCAGATCGGCAGTGGATCTCCCCCCCTGGCGCGCGGAGAGCGCCAGGGGCAGCGCCAGAAGCGCCGCTGGGGGGGTCCGGTCCGGCGCCGATCCAGGAAATCCGCGCTCGCCGTTTGGTGCTCTAGAAGAGCAGTCGCTCAGCTTCCAGCCCAAGCATAAACTTGCCGCCGCCGGCCTCAGTGGGACGCAAAGGACATACTAGTACTATGTGTCCTCCTCAGAGGCGTGCGTCCGACCCAAATATATAGTACAATCATCTTGTAGTATATCGTTGCCCGAGCCGTACGGCCAGAAAGCGCCCGCCGAGGAGCATATACTAGAAGATTTCTCGGCGCGCAAGTCGACCCTCTGGGGGCGACGCACATGTGCTTGGGTGGCGCCGATTTGATGTTGCCGCCGCCCCCCCCCGAAAAAAAACTCGGGACCGAAAACTCGCAGCGGATGCCAGCGTCACCCGGCGCCGATGGCGGGCCGCTGCGCGGAGGCCTCACGCCCATGTCCACCGCCGAGACAGCCAAGGCCCAAGCGGGGCCCCAAGAATGCGCAGGAGAGCCCAGTGGGAGAAGGGGCGATGCCTAGCGCTGCGCGGCTGGGGGTGCTGCGTTGCAGGACGCTGCACTGCGCTGCGGCGCTTCGGGGTGAGGCGCGATGTGTTGCAGGGCGCCGGTGCGTTGCGCTGCGCCGGCGAGGGGGCCCGGGGCGCCAGCGAAGGCCTTGCCGACAAGACCAACGACAAAGACAAAAGCAGCGACAAACTCGTGAGGCGGCTCGTGTTTCACTTGCTCGCGTGCAGATCTGCCCCTCTAATCCCAAACCCTTGACTCCTGCCCTCTTCGTATATGCACGCATGCTCTTGTCACATTCTGCATGCACGCGGTCGCCCTAACTGGCAAATCAGCGAAGCGGGACCGAGCGGGCGGGGGCGGGACCTTACAAACGAGCGGGCGGGCTTCCAAGCAAGGGATCAGCAAGACTTTCAGTCAAGCAAACGGGCGGGCCCTAACGGGCGGCTCAGGGGGGCGGGATCCTAAACCGCGATGTCTGCTTTGATCGTGAGGCTGAGCTCGATCCCTCGGTTAGTTCTTAGTTGTGAAGAAGTCCTGGGCGAGGGTGCGATTCCTGAGCGGTGACGGCGCGATTCCTGAAGAAGTTGTGAGAAACTCTCAGGCGAGAGAACGAGTCCTGATCGGCCAAAGCGCGATTCTCAAACAGAGTCTAAACAAGACTGAGGCGAGAGCCCAATTCGTAAGGAAGTTGAGAAAGTCTCGAGCGAGAGCGCGACTCCTGAATAATTTGCAGGATCAGCCAGCATCGAATCGGGAAATCGGATCGGATCGGGATGTGCGTCGGATCGGGCTGCATCGACACGGAGGCGCAATCGAACCGGACCGGCCACGCTGAGATGCACAGCAGCGCCGTGCAAGCATCACGCCGCATCGGATCGTCGGAATGCCGGAGCCGAATCGGATCGGGCCTGCCCGAATCGGCATCGGATCGGATCGATCGGATCGATCGGATCGAGGCGCCCCGATTTGCTCGGACGTTTCAGGCGGGAGCCGCTGTGATTACAGCCCAGGGGCACACGGCGCAGCTCGAGCCAGAGGACTAGATACGCACCTGACAGAGAATGGGCTGCGCGAGCCCAGGGGCACACTTCACTTGGAGGAAAAATTGGCCCCGACGGGGGGGCCAACACTTGATTGGGGGGCGGAAAGATACGGATACGTGTTGTCCCCGGACCTCTCTTGGGGTGCGTTCTGACCAGAATTTCGAGGCGAATCCAGCGGTGACAACGAGGACTCCCCAGGAGGACCAGGAAAGGCCGAAAACGAAGGGGGACAACACGTATCCGTATCTGTTTCCCCCCCGACTTGAGACAGCACCTGCACCTTCAGGGGTTCTGACTGCCCTTCCACGGAGCTGGGCCTCGGTGTCGCTCCGGCTGGCCCGTGGCCGCCCGTCGCCGCCCGTCGCCACCCGTCCCCGGTCACGATCTTGGTGTTTGCGAGGCTCGCACCTCGCAGTGGTTCGAATTGCTTCGCATTGCTGCACATTTGGTCGAACTGCTTCGCAGTGCTGCACATTTGGTTGCGTCGCACTGCATTTTGCTTTGCTTTGCTTTGCTTTGCTTTGCTTTGCATTGCATTGCATTGCATTGCATTGCATTGCATTGCATTGCATTGCATTGCATTGCATTGCATTGCATTGCATTGCATTGCATTGCATTGCATTGCAATGCATTGCATTGCATTGCATTGCGTTGCTTCGCAATGCTTTGCACTGCTTTGCACTGCTTTGCACTGCTTCGCAATGCTTTGCACTGCTTTGCACGGCTTTGCACCACACAGGCTGCAGCAGGTGGCGCCACATTGATTGGACCACCTAGGCTGCACAGCGGAGATTGAAAGAAATCACTGTTTGGGGTCAACGCTGGCTAACATTGAACACTTGACAACAACAACAACAACAACAACAACAACAACAACAATTACTAGCACGTGGGGACACTCCGTTCTCACCAGTGCCAGGGTTTTCATAGGAGGCGGGCAATACCCCCACTTTGTGGGGGGGCCGGTTCAAGCTCTACCAAATTTCCAAACGACTCTTCGCCACCACCCACACCCAGCTTCCCGCCCTATGACGTTCGGACACTTCACTTCGTGGCATGCGGACGACCGTGGCTACTATTCAGGGCCCCGCGGCCGACGACGACGGCGTGCGCGCGCGAAGAAAAAACGAATGTGTCCCGCATGGTATTATTTGACAGGGATGATGGCCCTGGCAGGTGCGCAACCGTTGTCGCAGAAGTTCGAAAAAGTTGCTCGCAAAAGCCCGTTTGACAGAAATGTTTAAAAAGTGTTGGGTTTCCTACGAATCCGCAAGAGCGCGCGGGATGAGATTTTGACATTTTTTTTGAAAAACCATTGGTTTTTTGATGTTTTTATGTTAAAATCGCTCGAACACTAAGGTTTTGGAAGGATTTCGTCTTGCGCGCGCGAATGTCCACTTTACCTTATTTTTTGCAAGGGATTCTTGAAGTTTGGTTATGTTAGAACAAGAAATGTCCACTTTAGCTTATTTTTTGCAAGGGAAAGCGGGCCGTAACAAAACAACCGGATCCGGACCAACCCGTTTTGCCTGAGACTTCCTCACGAAAATGATGAAAATGTGGCTGCGGCCTAGGCGCGGCGGGGGGGTCGTGCACCAGGGGTCCCAACAATAATTATTCTTTAGAAGTAATAATGTTCAACAACAACAACAACAACAACGGCAACAACAACAACATCATCAACAACAACCACCATAACCACCACCACCACCACCACAACAACAACAACAACAATCAGCTTAAGACTGTTCGCTCTTAACTGCCCACGTGCCATTCAACACGTATATCCCAATCCCTCGATACCCGCCCTCTTCGTCCTGTGTCCTACCCCCTCAGTACCCGCCCTCATCGTGTTCGATCGTACCCCCCTGGGGGTATCCCTCTTCCTTACATGCCGCAAGTAATTGGCGCAGCACCTGAAACAGGGGAATAGAGGACGGATGCAACAAACATCAGCTAAGACTGTTCGCTCTGATCTGCTCGCGTACCACTCAACACGTCTATCCCAAACCCTCGATACCCGGCCTCTACGTCCTCGATCGTACCTCCTTGGGTGTATTTCTTTCTTACCTGCCCCGTGTACTTCGTGCAGCCCCGAAGGCAGGGGAAGAGAGGACGGATGGAAGGAAGGGACAAGGGGGAGAGAGGGGGATGGACCACGAGAGAGAGAAGCAGGAGGGAGGCTAGGAGCAGAAAACACGTGGCAGAAACCAGACGGGCAGATCGGGCAGGTAGACCCTAACAGGCGGGTCGGGAAGGCGGGCCCAGGCGGCCAGGTCGAGCAGGCGGGTTGCTGAAGCGTGCGTCCTGCATGAATCGCGAGGATGTCAGCGGTAGCGGGATTCCCAAATAAATCGTGAGAGCTTGATTCCCGAGTGTCGAGGGCGCGACGTCTGAACTAATTGGCAGGGAGCCCCACGCGAGAGGGCGATTTCTGCGTAAATTGTGAGGACCTCCCGCGCGAGAGCACGATATGGGAACAGTTTGAAAGGAATTTTCAAGCGGGAGCCGCTGTTGTTGTAAACCGGGGGTCACCCCAGGAAGGGAGGAAGGGCACTTCAAATGGAAAAGAACAATGTGCCCTGGAGAGGGGGAGATCAACGATAAGTGTTGTTTGATAGTGAGAGTTCCACCACAAAAGTGTTCTTTGAAACATACAAAGGTCACCGGAGGGGTGGACCATCAGTAATTATTCCTCCGTAGTTAAAATTCAAGCAGCAACAACAACAACCATCATTTTCAGACTGTTCGCTCCTATATGCCCGCGTGCCATTCAACACGTAAAACCCAAAACCTCGGTACCCGCCCTTGTCGTCTTCGATCGTACTCCCTTGGGGGTCT